ATATATATATATATATATATATATATATATATTTTAATTCAAACACTAATTTTTTTTTATTAAATCTTAAATTAGTGATTCAGATTAGTAGGTATATTTTGCGTTTAGTATGTAGTAAAATGATTTCATAATCCTTATTTTAAGATACATTAGAATTTCTTTTAAATTGAATACAATGTAAAGCTGCCACTTTTCATAAGTCTGAACTCTGAAGTATAGGTAATTTGCTAAAAAAAAATACATAGATTATATCATAGATTATGGTTTCTTTCCTCGCGAAATTGCGATTATTTGGTGAAAATAATTGGATGCATGACATGTGATTTTGCCTTGAAACATTTTTTTTTTTTTGCATTTTTTTCAACTTCATGTGCGTTAAAATATGAAAAGTGTAAACGTTTGATTTAAAAGTGAAAATAATTCGCTTGATTATTGGGAAAATCTAAATTCGATAAAGCGTTCAAGTTAACAACTGTTAATCACCTTTATGCAGCTAGACAAGCCTAAAATGTGGATCGCATTTTCAATCAGTAGTCATGTTGACGTGAAATGAAACTTGAAAATTTTAAAAAGTAGGTAGAGCAAGACATTTTTACGGTCTCTAATATCATTGCACAATCTGATGTGTTGCATTTCTACTCCGTCAAGATAAAAATCCACTTTCTGACACAAGTTACCGAAAGCCATTGCAAAATAGGGTCCCAATTTGACGTCTTAATTGATTGTGCTAGCTGGAGTAATTACCAACATTGTTCCAAAACTTGCTCGTTTAACATTGAAAATCAGGGTAACGTTTGCTAACACTTGAAGTAAAACCATTTTCAACAAGAGGGTGATACAAATCATTGTTAATCGAGTTAAAAAAAAATGTTGCAATTATGTTTCAAATAAAATAGTCATACCTAAGCATGGTACCAGCTCTGGATGCTTGCACAATTTAAGTCTCGGGAGTTTTCATAATGAACCATGGAGAAAAATCTCTAAGCAGAACTAACAAAGTAAACGGAAATCCATGGAAAGTATGCGCAGATGCACCGCACCCACAAACAGCAATCATCCATCTAGAATTCAAACAGACAATAACTTAAAAAGAAAATTCAAATCTATACACTACCACATAAAAATCAAAACCAAAATGTCAAGATAATTCTTAGACATGCTAATGTGCAATAGTGAATTTTAAAATGCAAATCATTTAGATACAAAACATAAATCCACGAGGTAAAGGAAAGCAAAGCAAAATGGAAATGACGAAACATTACATGGCTAGTCCTCAAGCCTAAAGCCAAAGAGCAAATGATCACGACCCTAAACAAGAAAACAGCCAGGTCAAAATAAAGAGTTACAAAGAAAGTCTAAATGTATAAAACAAAACTTTGGAGCGACAGTAGAGTAAAAAGAAGCATGTGATTTTAACACATTGCCCATTTTACACAGATGTGTTTAATCTTAAAAATACCAAATCAGGTGCTTACAGACCAGAAATTATGGCATCAAGCATCGTTCCCGAGATTATTAACAGTATCCATATCAACAAGAACTACAATTCTGAAGAGACATTTAGCTAACAATTTGAATCTTAAGTTCACATAGCGACACTGCAACATCACAATAATGGTTTTTTACTGCAGCAAACTAGATAAGAAATAACTGACGTCTGCATTGAGGTTAAATTCTATGCATTATTAATGAGCGTGATAGTTTGCATAAGTGTGTCTAAAGGATGGTATTAAATTTCATGCATGAACATTCCCATTCCCATGCATAAATTCAGCTTGCTTGGGTTAGAAACCAAAATGAATACAGTATACATACAAATAGAATCTAGAAATCAATATCAAAATGGAATTAAAAAGTGGAAACTAATTGTTACCAATTAAGGGTCATTTATTTACTTTCACTCTTTCTGGAATGCTTGTTTGACATTACGGTGTACATTAACAATTCAAAATCCCAAAATAAAAAATTTACTTGACCACCTTTGTTCAAGCGCATCTACATAAAACCTTGCTCGAACCCTCTGTCATTCATCATACATCATCATTGCAATCTGAGTGAATACAATAAATCAGTATGATCTTCATGTGATTATCTCTAAGTGAATGTTAATTAATATAAAGGTCAAGGCATTTTAAAAAATGGGATGCACTAAATAAGATAATCCATAATACTTCTTTTAAGAGAACGAGAGAGGAGAATTGCTCAATAAAAAGTGAAAGTTCTTTGTTATGGGAAGTTGTTGCAGATAAGCTAACATAATTGGGGAACTATTAAGAAATACCATTGAATTGCACCATAGCCCCACATTAGTTTTCAAGAGATATGGTGTTCAGCATCTCATTTTACATTCAATTTAGAAATTTCATGCTCTCCCTAATCTACAGAAGATAAGTTCTCAATGCTTCAAAACTCAAAATTTGAAACAAATCCATGTGACACCATCTTTGATTCTTGATCTTCATCTAGTCTTCTCTTGCCCTACAAAAAGGAAAAAATATACATCCTTTCATTGTGAGAGCAAGAGAGAGAACCTAACCCAAAAAAACCTGAAATGTTTGAACAGCAAAAATAGTTGCCCATATGCACCTAAACACTTTCATTTAAAACACTTTGTTTATGGAAGCCTTCCCTACCCATCCAGAAAGGGTAAAAAGAAAAAGGGTAAACGACAATAAAACATTTTTTACCCAGTAAAAAACAAGTTTACATTCCATATCTTTGCAACACAAGAGAAAAAGAGAGAGAAAGAAATGAAGCCAGTATTGCATTATCGCATTGCATAGTAATGAAAGTACTACGCCGGGCTTTCAACTATGTTTGGATTACCATTGCACCCTTTCCATAAGTACATTTAAAATAAAAGAAAGAGTATCATTCTTCACAAATACATTCAGAAACAGTTATCCAAACATGTAAAGGGTATCAAAAATTCAATTTTCTGGGAAGCCTAGAAATATAGATGAATCACGTAGAGTATGTTTGGAACTAAGTCACGTCAACTTGGAATCATATTTGAGAGAAGCAAATATTTGTAGCTTCTGCATCTATTGTCAATTTTAACGTGATTTTTGAGTCTAAAGTAAGTAAATAACACATTCGGATAGGTCCATTGCATTCGGGTAACAAATCTGATCTATTGTTACGGAAGTAAAGATGACACAGAAAAAAGCTTTCACCCTATAGATTCTAGACAAAAAACCACCCATGAAATAAAGGGAAAAAAAATGACAATAAGAATTTAGACGTCAGTGACAGTGACCCAGTAAAATGTTTAGCATGTTTCATTTCAGACAATCAAGTAGGTCCAATTAGTTAGAATAGCATTTCATTTCAGAAACCAATGTTGCCATTTCATAAACTCAACTTTCACATGTCCCACATACACATCGAATTAATTACACTTAACATAAAGGAAGAAAAGAGAAAAGGGAGGGAATACCTTCAGGAGTCCAACCGTAGGAGTGGCGAGACACAGAGAGCATCGAATTCAGCAATGCGGAAGCAGTAGCACTGTGATAAGGAAGCAAAGATTCCACGCAGCAACTCGCTTCTACCGGTAGCCTATCCAAAACAAAATTGCTATAATCAAATCGAAAATAATTGGGAAAATGCGATGGAGAGCAACGCTGTTACCTGAAAACGCGATTGGAGATTGAGGTTTGCTTTGGGAGGCGAAACGGAGATCGCGCCGGTCTCGGCCTAGCTCCGGCTGCCAGATTCGCCGCCCCGGCGGCTCGGGATGCGGCGGAGCGCAACAAACACCTGGCGGCGGACATCGTGGCGATACGAAGGGTTTTGCCTTTCTGGGGTTTTGCTATTTCTTTTTTACAACTTTTTTTTTGTTTTGTTTTTTCCTACTTTTGCTCAGAGGTTATGGGCTCAGATTATCCTCTTAGGTTCTATTGGACTTCCTTGGGCCTAATCCATCACTTTCGCCGCTTAATAATCAATAAATTAAATGAATGAATATAAATACTACCCTTTTGACTCAATTATTTTCTTTGTTATTGCAAATGAATTTAGAGTTTAATGAATATGTTTTCTCGGTATAAACTTTTTTATACTATCAACTAATTAAAAATCATGTTTAATATGACTTGTAAGATAGTTAATATCAAAATCAATACTAATAATCACATGATAGTATTAAAATACTTTACAAATTTTCAGTACATATCCAATTTTCTCATGAATTAATTGTTACTTAAAATAAATTATATATATATATATATATATTTTGTCTTAAATATACATTACTTTTAATTTAATATAATTCAAATTGAATAAGACGAGGGACAGCAAAGTTTTTCATATTTGAATTTTCGAGATTTTCCTATTTATTAAGTTAGAATAATTATATCTAATATTTTCCTCTTAAATTTAAGTTACTTATTTTTAAATTATGTGAACTACTTCTTATATTTATTTAAATTGGAAAAGTATAAACTATTCAAAATCTAATCTTATCCTATTCTTTTAATGTACCAACAAAAATATTTAACTCCTATAACATGAGTAAATGTATAAAGTGAAAAAAAAAGAGTCTATTATTACTTCAAAATTAGATGAAATTATGAAATATTTCTTTAATTTAAATTGTCTAGTACCACTTCACCTATTTAGGGGCTTGAGAAGAAAATAAAAGGAAAAAATGAAATTTTTTTCTACAAGTTAAAATTAATTTCTCTTTTAATTAAAATTACCATTTAGATAAATTAATATAAGAAAACTTGCGCATAAATTTTTTTTTTTCTGGCTAAGTGTTTGTAGAAAACTTTATTTATAAAAGTTACATCCAAGCAGAAAGATCCAATCATATTCTAATAGACAAGGCGAATTGTGACTTGTGCGTTCAAATTGTAGTGAATATATCTACACCTATGTGGGTCATGTCATGCACGTACTTTCTCTTTCTCATATGGGTTCCAGTGCTGATATCATTAACGTAGTGCTTGTTTAGGGTGATTTACTGTTTATGAGTAACGAAAGGCGAGAAAAGTTGGCGTTTATTTCCACCGATTTGCGACGATGGAAAGGCGAAGAAAAGCAAGGAGAAGCACTGTTGCTCTCCTCGCACGAGAAGGAAGAAAAGAGGTGAAAGACACGTAGGATTTGTGAAAATCCGAAAATACCCCTCCCATGCATGTGCCATGCAGCAGAGGATTCACGTTCAACGAAGGAGCATAATCGATTGGCCACATAATCGATTATGACCTTGCATAATCGATTATGGGTGAGGCATAATCGATTATGCAAGGCCATAATCGATTATGGTTGGCCACATAATCGATTATGGTTGGCCACATAATCGATTATGGCCTTGCATAATCGCATAATCGATTATGGGTGAGGCATAATCGATTATGCAAGGCCATAATCGATTATGTGGCAATCATAATCGATTATGCAGGGTATTTTCGCTGCCAGTGGAAATCGGAACGGCCCCGGAACGGCCCGTTCCAAAAATGCATGTTATGAGAAAAATAAGAAAGCAGAACGGGTCGTTCCAATTTTGGAACGCGCCGTTCCACTTTTGGAACGGGCCGTTCCACTTTTGGCCTTTGCGTAGTACTTTATAACCCCAGAACGGTCATTCCACTTTCGGAACGGGCCGTTCTGGACACATTAATTTGTTTTTAATACGTGTATATATATATATATATATATATATAATATTAATATTTAATTTATAATACCTTAAATTAAATATAATTATTTAATATTAATATTTAATTTATATATATATATATATATATAAATTAAATATGAAAATTAAATATTAATATTTCTATCTTCTCACTTTTATATATATTAAAGTTCGGTTATCTATTTTTAGGGTTTATTGTACATTTTTTTTATATTAAGAAAATTCTATTATTTAAATATTGACATTAAAAAGTAAAAATATAAAAAAAATAAAGTAATACATGTTTATAAAATTAAAATAATAACACTTTCATAAACATTAATAAAATAATGTTACAAAATATAATTATCATAATATATTTTGTTATTATTATTTATTATTATAAATATTATTGTTTTTATTTTTATTAATATTAATATTATTATTTATTATAATTAGTATCATTATTATTTATTATGATTCTTATTATTTTTCTAATATTTATTATTATTCTTATCATTATTTATTATTTTTTTAGTAAATAAACCCTATTAATATAATTTTATTGTAATTATTATTAATTACAATAAATAATATTATACTCATTTTTAATCCAAGGGTAAAAGTGTAAATTATATATTCATCTCTTAAATTTTTATTTTTTATCTATCATTAAATTTAAAACAAATATTTAAATTAATTTATTTTTAAATTAATTTTTTATAATTTTTTTAGTTAAAATTTATATATTTATCTTTTAATTATAATAATTATAATAAAAAAATGAACCTAAGGGCAAAATAGTAATCTTTCACAACTATTAATTAAAAAATCTATTTTTATCTATCATATCAATCAATTCATTCACAAACTTTCACAAACTTTCTCTACATTTTTCACTCACTTTCCTTTAATCCAATCAACCTCACTTTCCACTCACTTTCTCTTCAAATCTCTCCTTTTCCACTCTCCCTTTTCCATCCTCAAATCCAATCAAAGCCTAACATTCATGCTCTTTATGTACTCCTATCTCAGATTCCTCACCCTTTTACCAATACTCCTAATTGACTTCAACCACACTTTATCGTGTCTTGAACAATTTTACATAACTCAGTGTCATGATTTTTAAGGCAGTAGAATTAATAAGTACAATTGGCTTGGGTTTCTACCATTTTCCAACAAACCCCTAATTAAAATGGTGGCAGCACAAATAGCACGCACAAGTGAATCAGAAAATGCAATTAAACATGGACTCTAGTAAGAAAATACAAGTAACCTTCTTTTATTATATTCCCGTAGAATGAAATAAAACAAAAGCACAACAAACTTGGGAAAGTTAAAACGGTTCGTGTAAGAAAAACTGGCTGAAATAACTCGAAATCATTAATGAATTTTGACACGGAGCAACAACAGAAATATGAATTCGCATATTCAAATGGTTCAATCATGTTCTAGTTCCTTGAACTCTTCTTACTCTTTCTAATCTTTAGCAGGGTATGACGTAGCATGGGTATGCAAATGACTCGAGACACATCCATTCCTTGTACTTTAGAGCCACCAGAACCTGAACACTTAGCCAATTTCTTCTTCCTTTCTTCAAACCTCAATGAGTTTGGAAAGTACAAGCGTCCTCTATCACCTGATCTAATTCCAATTAGCTGCGCAAGGGACACACTGTTGTCTTGGAAGAACGATGCCGTGGACTGTTTGTTGCAACACAAGAAAAAAGCAGTTGCATAAACTGTAAGCAGAACACAAGTTTACAAGCTTCTAATTTTTCTTGGTCCATAAAAGGTGTAAACATTTTACATGGTCTGTGATGATCTATGAGATACATTTTGAAGTCTACATCAACTTCATGCTAAATGGTTTAAGCCATTATTATAACCATAGGAAGTAATGATCAGTGATATTGATGGCAAGAGCTTAGTCTAATCTTTGGGAAAATGGGGAATAAATGTTAGCTACATGTGGGTTTCATAGGATTCCCTTCCACCAATAACGGGGATGCTAGTCCTAGAAATTAAGTTGTTAATAGTTTCACACTTGCCTTGGACAGTTGGACATGAAATAAAACACAGAACAGAACCTATGATATTATCGAATAGTAACATTATTTATGTTCCAAAGTAATATTCATTCAATGACAATGAGTAAAAGCATTATATGAAACCAAAGGTGAGAAAGGATAAGAATAGAACACCTCTGTATCAAGATTAGAGGATGAAAATGAAGAGAAACTGGTGGATGGCACGTGCAATTGGTATGGTGCCACTGAAGCTGCTGGGAGGGATTCCCCAACTCTAAGTCTCATATTCAAGAAGCCAAGTCCAAGAGGCCATCCAATAGGCATGTCATCGTTCTTAGAAGAGATAACAGTAGAAATTAGCAAAACACTATATACTTTCATCGTATTTAAATGAAGTGCAAATGAAAGCAAACATGTGTGCATATCCAATAAAACATCAGTGCCTTAGTTACAAGTATATTCAAAAGAACAAGGTGAAAATTTAAAGTTATGACGAATAAAATGATATGTCCTCTCTTCTCTTGGAAAATTTAAAATCATACAACGGATATTATCCCTACATAACACCTATTATGTTATACACTTTATTTCATCATGATGAATGATTTCAATTCCAGAACATGGATCAAGCTGATCTAAGTAAAGGTAATGGTTATCACATTATCTTCTTAAATGAAAGAATAGCAAAACTGATAGTGAATGTAGACCCAAAAACAAGCAAAATGTCAAGCAGAGCCTATTTATAAAATATGATTTGGATGGTGTAGGTTTCTCCTAATTATGAAAAAAAAAATGACAATTGATCTAAGAAAAGATAAGGGAGGAAAGGTACCATTGCTGCCACTGTTCAGCAAGGGTAAAGGGTCAAGAGATACTGTCTCACATTCTTACATCGTTAGAGTTCTATTACTATCCTCCTTGTGGTAGAAGTATCTTCTTTGCAATATAAATCTAGTTAATATGACAAAGCAACTCTTTTCTAGCAGGTCTTATTGTCTTAAAAAACATTCTTCTAAAGCCGATAAGCTTTTGCAATAATGAAGCATATCCATCAAAAGAATCACAAATAGGGGTCAAGTCTGCAAAGATATTTGTCTATATAGATTTCAAGGTTCAAAATACTTTTTCTGATCAACTGGATGGGCAGTTTCCATCTCAATAAATTACATTGCATACTAATAATCCTTGTTCCTATACTTATTTTAAGAATCCTCACAACTAAAGCTAAGTGTTTTTTACAACTATACATAGATAATTATTGGTACAACAAATTTTATTGTTGTTTCTTATACTTACACTAGTTTTTCTATCAGTATAACGCCTAATTGAGTCTAATTTTCCACTCTAAAATAGTAAAAATATCCTGGAACTAATGAGAGATATAAGGTTGGGGAAAAGTGATAGAAATTGAACTGTCGGCGTAATTAGCAAATGATTGGTGTTCAGGTTTAAAAATGCAATATTACGATTCCATGGTCTGGATAGGCTTATTTCTCCAGATATTTTCACATATATTTCTCACTCATGTTGTACATTTAAAACTGTTTCTTATTTTGTTCCTTCCTGCTTTTAGATTTGGCCCACTTCATGTGCAACTCACTCAGACACATTACTTAACAATATAAAATATAAGAACTAGTAATTCAAAATAAGATGGATGGTTACTTGTACAGGTAATTTTTCCAGTGAGACACAAACGTCGGTGAAACTGTGCTCGTACACCATCTAATTATGACATGTTATGCTCAAAATGAACAATTTGATCTGCCTCTCTCCTGGCTATAACTCTTTAGCTACTAAAATTATCAAATGTAATTATTAACATATTGGTAGGGGACCGTATTTTTTATCGATTTTCTTCGCTACACTAGAAAAAGGGGACATGATGATTAAATTACGAGTTAGGACTGATGTATCAGTTCAAGTTACATTCCTACAACTAAGTTCGGACAACAAACTTTGATGGTTTTAATGAAACGTTAATTCATGTGACTACCGATTCAACAACTACTAACATTATGGTGCTAACCAAAGACACTGATGGGGTCATTTCTTATGTCAGTCCATAAGGAAAATTCAAATATTATGCACATTGGTAGAGACGGTTATCTTTTCTTCATATCAATCCATTCAGAAAATACAAAATTTGCATACTTAAATGACATGCATTATTTTCATAAAACTATTCGCAAAGCATGTCAAATCCTAGAACGAACAACAAACTCACATAATAGTAGGAGTTCAATTCACATTTCATAAAATCTGACATTCAAGAATACTAATAATCTAACAAGATAGAACAAAATAAAATCTGTGCCTTAAGAACCGAATATTATCAACTGCAGCAAACAGACCAAGTATTCGCATAGAGCAAAACCAGAGGCACAAAAAAGGGTCAGTTTCATTTCAGTTTAAACACTTAACAGTCCAAACATATTGACATTTAAGGATCAATTGCATCAAACAGACCCCCAAAAAAGTCTTGATCTTTCACTGACAAAACAGTGAAACAACTGATAAACCAGCTGAAAAGGTAGTAGATGGGGACAAAAGATGCTGAATGCCAGAAGAAAATGGAGAAAGAAGGCACGAAGTGATGAAATATTTGTTCTTATTTGAGCAAGAAAATACAAGGAAAGCACAGAATTATTACCTCTCCAAGCATGGTGTCTCTGCCCTCCCCTGAGAAGTTTATGGGGAAATGACGATCACAGAGAAACTCAAAGAAAAGTAAAAAAATGTTTTGAGGAAATCAATAGTGAATTTACGTGTCTCCTAACTAGTATTCTTCCCAAACATCAGACATTTAAGAATCTGGTCCCACTGAACCTGCACAGCATTACTTGAGCTAAGCCTTTTGTTTTGAGAAACTGTGTGTATATAACTTGTTATATAACTTGTTTGTACAATAAAATATGAACCAAAGAGAAAACAATACCATGAGAGGATCTATCTTAATAGAAAGAGATGGATGAAAAAAAATACTATAAAAAGGTATTAAAAGAATAATGTAACCCTTTTATTTTTATCATAGGAATTAAAATTTTGATAAGTAGAATCAAAGCAAAGAATTAACAAAATAAATAATAAGAAAGATAACAATAACAAATTGAGCAACATATAATTGGAATAAAACTTTAGTTGAGCATCATATTTAAATTTTTTTAGGATTAACACTTAACTGGTTTCAGTGAAGAGAGAAGAAAAAGAAAAGGAGCTAATGTAGTAATTGACAAGTGATAGAACATGGATGAGAGTGGTGTTATTCCTTTATGGGGCATTTAGCTTTTGAGTTTGGTGGAGAAGTAGACATCAAAACGGTTGGGAAGATATATCTGATCTATTGTTGGGCTTAATTAGTAAAAGTGATGGATTTTTTTAACAATTTCTGTCGCCATTGATTGGTGAAAAAACGCTTAAGTAGGAGGTCAACAACGATGAACAAGTTACTTCGCTGTTATAATCATCAGTGGTTGCTTATTGCTACACGCAAGTGAAATTTATGTTCAATATTACACGAAACCGAATTTTGTTTACGCTTAAATACTGTTCGGTACCGTACAAGAACGATACAATAATGTTTATATTGTTGGTAATTTACATTTTAAATTTCTAATTTTTTTTTAAAAAATATGTTTGATATTTTTTTAGTTTTTATTTTAAAAATCATATATTTTTAACTCTTATATGAAAAACATTTAAGATTTAATTTTAGTCATTTGTCAAAATTATAATTTTTACGGATATATTTTAAGTTGGAACTAGCCTAATCTTATTAAAATACCCCTTTTTTTTTCCTTATTAATCTATCATATTTGTACTTAATGGATAAGTAGACCACTTGAAACTACCCTAAAAATATATCAACTTATGAAAATCAATCAACTTATGATTTTTACGTCATGACTAATCTAATTTCGTCATGTTTTATGTAAGAAATATTTTAACAAAGTCTAACATGATCTAATTAATTCATCCTATTTAATATCATTTACTAGTCTTTATAAAAGTGGTATTTATTTATGTATTGTCATATTTATTATTTCTTTACAGTTAGTGTGCCAAAACATTGTTAGTATATTTGTAACTGATCATTATTATTTATCTTTTTTGATAAGATACATTTTTTTATAGAAATTTTAACGTTCAAACAATAATTATAATAATACTAAATTTGATCTTTATATTTGATATTATTTATTTTTTAGTCTCTCCATTAAAATAATTTATAGTCTTTACATAATTTTTTGTTGTTGATATTTTAGTACTTATTTTAAAAAGAAAACAAAAAATGAGATGTAGAGACATCACAATAGAAAAAAAAAACATTGTAAGTATGTTGGTATCTCATCCTCTTTTCAATCATTTGCAACACTTGAATCATTATACTTATTTTAATGATTGAGAATTGAGATAGATTTATGATGATTTAAGTTCAATCGTTTGTTGATATTTGTACCATCTCGGTATAATTTTGATACGGTTCCGGGGAGTAATTCCTTAAAGCCCTTTCGCCTATAAGGTTCAGGTCGGAATCTGACCTGATCCCCTCCTACGAGGGTGATCTTGGGAGAGTTCGGTCGGAATCCGATCTGGACTTGATCTCAGGGACAATTAAGTCCTTGCGCCTTATAAGTTTAGGGCTGGAAGGCAAGTGTACCGTCCCAGTCGGATCCCGATCTGATACCCTTTACAGGTTTTGATCCAATGAATCTTGAATATGGGTCTTCTCGGTCGGCAGGCGATCTAACCTCTCATATGGGTAAGATCAGTCGGACCGCGATCTCACCCACCCCCTGGACGAGCTCGGCCTGGGTATGGTCGGCCATGGTGAGATCGGTCGGGCTGTGCTCGGCCATGGTGAGATCGATCAGGCTGTGCTCGGCCATGATGAGCTCGGCCAGGGTATGGTCGGCCAAAGTCCGAGTGAGTCTTACCCTTTGGACTGGTCCGAGAATCAAGGATGAAAAGCCTATCTTTGATAATCAAATATTCCCAAGGAAAACCGTTATGGAAATCTTCGCGCTCACAAGGCCCAGGTGGCCTATGAACAGAAAAGTATAAAACATAAAACCCTAAAGTTAAGACGGCAGATTACACTCTTAAATGCTCTAGCTTTGGAGGCTTGACCTAGGAGAAGAACCCTAGACGCTCCCTTGACCGGAACAATATTATAATCTTTTTTATTAATAAAAAGTATTTGAAGCACAATAAAATTTATTAAAAAAAGTTATAAAAAAAAATGGGAGACGTAAATCAAAATCCATGCAAACCGAATATGAATAATTTAAATGTATAATTAAGAGACTCCAACCTATTTATGTCTTAACGAATGAATCTAGATGGTAAATTCCAACAGTAAAACAAAAGAACACAACCTAAAGGATGACAAATTGTCCATATAAATTTTGCCTTCCTTAAATATATTAGAAATTATAAATTGCATATTTCATGCAAAATATAATAATAATTTCGTCCTCAATATCTGAACAAGTCTATTACAAATATTTCTTAATCTAATTATTAAAGCAGAAACTATTTTCACTCATAATAATGTTACTATTATTAGTCTAAATAATTTTTATATATGATAAAAATTGAATACAATTTTTTCAAAAATCAATTATCCTACAAGTTATGATTACAAACTACCTAATCATTAGGTGAATCCAATATATTATAAAGAACTACATGAATAAAGCAACATAGAATTCTTTGTATAGGGAGTAAGAGTTTATAATGTAAGAGGCTAAACAACCTATAATAGCAGCCTTGTTCCTAAAAATGCCGCTACCGCTTAAAATGCACTTACACTTAGATAAGTTTTTTTCTCTTATATATAACAATATTCTAATAACATCACGACTCTAATAACTTGTAAAGACGAATTTATAAATAGGTTTTTATATGAAATTAAACTTTAAAATTTTCATGTATAAATTAAAAAAAATTAATATAAGAAATTAACCAAAATTTAAAACAGGCAAGCAGTCTACTGAAACTATTATTCTTCTTTTGGCGAATTGAAACTATTCATATTTCGGCTACTCTTTGCTAATAATAACATCGTGCGTATGTTTTTTCGTCTCCATTATATTTATTTTGTTACGCCCTAGGAAAAATAAACCCAAACTTGAAGTTTTATCTAAAAACATTTTTTACTAAAAAAAATCTAACAACGTTTTTAATAATATGAAGACATCAAATAAAATAAAAAGTAATATAATAGAACTGATGCAGTGAATAGTTTGTAATTGAGAGAGAGTAATTTAAGGGTGATTATCAATATAAAAATGTGTATGCCAAAAGAAAGAGTGAAGATGAAGACGGTTTGGGTGTTGGTGACCATGACGGCGATAGAAGCTGCGGAGAGAAGAGCAGCGAGGATTCTGAGGATGTCCTGAGCCATGAAGAATGTCGAAGGTTGTTGTGAGAGTGAGGAATGTTTGGGTT